GAGAGAGAGAGAGAGAGAGAGAGAGAGAGAGAGAGAGAGAGAGAGAGAGAGAGAGAGAGAGAGAGAGAGAGAGAGGGCGGAATACTGCAGGGCCTGTGCGCTTGAAAACGACACGGCATTGCATGAGAGCACGTACGTGTTCTATTTGAATAGAACGAGCGTGCATACTATTCGAATAGGACATATGTGCATGATATTTCAACGTGCGTACTATTTGGATTTCAGGGGGCGACTTCGAGAAATCGATTTTTCCAGGGAAAGTTGAATAGTACATACGTGCATTTTGTTCGGGGGAAGACTGTAGCGTGGAGAATGAACCGAGCGCCCAGGTATTGAAGGAGTGTGTCAGGCTGTCAGCCAATGAGATTATTTCAGAAACGTAAACAAAATAGTGAAAACCTTCTACCTAATTTTCATGCGCATATGCCCAACCCACCCTCTCGTTGGGGTTTGGGCATACGCCCATGGGATAGAGCAAAATTTGGCTGGCAGCTCCCTTCGCACCGGCATGCCTGGTGTTTCGGAGAGGAGGAGAGGGGAAATAAGATATCTTTCCTTTTTCAAATTTCTGGGTAATACGAGTAAAACACCGACCGTGGGTTCACAATTCATCGCAGGAAATATTTGGGTCGCCCTCCCTGCCACACAAACTTTTATGAAGTTTTATCTATCCTAGCCGGCTGCTAATGGGACCTCGTGCGAGGTCCCATCTGGGTGTATGTAGCTCACCCCAGACAAAGGAGGAAAAAGATCTCACGGTTTGTGTTTTTTCCCCCTTGAATAAACAGCACCTTATGGTTCTGGCTCCTTGTCCATTCTTGGGCAGCGTCCATTCTGGCTCGAATCAGCCCGGTTCCTTGTCCACCGGCAAGTCATACAACTTATTACAATAAAAACACACTCCAACGCTTCTCCCCATTAACTTATGGTCGAGAGATCCGAGAGGGCGGCATTTTGATTACTTCCTTCGGAAAGGATGTACCTCCCCTCACCCCAAAGGGAGTCGTCAAAATGTGTAACCTCCAAAGGATGTTCCTTTTTTTCTTTTTTTTCTTTTTTTTTCTTTTTTTTTCTTTTTTTTTCTTTTTTTTTCTTTTTTTTCCTTTTTTTTCTTTTTTTTCTTCTTTTTCTTTCTTTTTCTTTCTTTTTCTTTCTTTTTCTTTCTTTTCTTTTTTTTCTTTTTTTTCTTTTTTTTTTATTACTTCCTAAGGTAGCCTGGTTGACACAACTTTGTTCTAATCTCCAGACTCACTACTACTTCTTGGCCAACTGTTCTAAAACCCTAAACCCTATCATTCTGGATTTATTCTGGCCGAAACCCAATTGACTGGGATTAACATAATTTCATCTTCCTCCTCCCCTACCCCTTTATTTTCCCTTATTAGCCTGTTAACACTTTTCTTTATTTCCTCTCTTATACCCTGACCCACTCCTCACCTATTGTTCTTGGCCAACTGTTCTGAAAGACTAAAACCCTAGACCCTATCATTCTGTATTTATTCTGACTGAAACCCAATTGACTGTGATTAACATAATTTCATCTTCCTCCTCTCTTACCCCTTACTTTCCCTTTTTTTCCCCCTTGCCCTTAGGGCATACTCACACCACGCCCTCGAGCTCCCAAAATGAGCGGCCAGATCGAGTCCTTGCAAAATGAGGACTTGATCTGCCCGCTCATTTTGTCGTTTTCTTATTTTGACGGCCTACTGTGAGTATACTAAGTTAGCCTGCTACGTTCTGTTAACAACTTAACACTTTTCTTTGTTTCCTCTCTTATACCCTTTTTTTTTTTTTTTTTTTTTTTCCCTCTCTTATACCCTTACCCACTCCTCGTCTATTGTTCGTGACTTAACTGTTCCCAAACCCTTTTTTTTTTTTTTTTTTACTGTTCCCAAACCCTAAACCTTAGCAGTCTGGATTTATTATTCCTACTATTATTATTCTTATGATTAAACGCCTTCGAATCTTATTACAATCGGGCCCAGTGCCCAATGCAGTACATCAACGAGATAGCCGATTGTGACTGAATCTCCTTGCTCTTCCCCCTATGACCACCAACTCCACCTGAGTTTGTTTGCCTCCTCCACTGTCGCCACTTTCCCCTGTTAGCTATCTTTCCAACCCGGTACAGCCATAATGAGGGTGTGTTGTGTTTGGGGGAAGACGGTAGTCGAAAGATCTGGGGCAAGGCCCCACTAGCATGATAAAAAAAAAGATGTTGACGATCCATCTTCACTATATATGGAGAATATCTCTTCAATGTCTTTCCCAATGAAAGAGGGACCTGGCCCCCGTAGATTCTGTACTACGATTCGTCTAAAATCAAGGGAACCCGAGTCCAGTGTCCCGTGAAGCAGAATTTTTTAACAGAAGAAAATGAGATATCGGAAGCACAGCATGGATTGCCTCATCCATGCAAACATTTTCTAGCTGATTTATTAATAGAACTGGAAGAATACTTTCACCAACTCGATACACAAAAAAGAAAAGCAAAAGAAGTTTAAACTTTAAACTTTAAAGAAGTTAATAAAGAGTCAGATCTAGGGAATATCACAGAGATCATACTTGGCCTATATGGACTCAACTTCTCTGCCTAACTTCGCTCTGGCTATTCATTTCTGGCCTTTCATTTCAACCAGTGGTGAGTCTAGACTCTAGAGCCTATTTCTCTGATGGTCTGGTCATCTATGTCTTTGCCCGTCTGTCTCTCTCTCTCTCTCTCTCTCAATGAGGCATCCACTTAAACATCTCACTGTCTCATCCAAACAACCAAGGAAATTCATCATAATGAAAGAATTGACTTCGCCGATGATTGTGGTGGATACAAAACGCCGGCAGCAGAGGGGAAACAAAGCTTCTGTTCCAAGGGAACCAAAGCTGTGAGAGCAAACACTGTGCAAGGCTCACTTAGGAAAGACGTGGTCCTCAGCTCCGCCCATTGACATTTGGTTGTCATGGGGAGATGTATGTGATAGGATTTTAAGTTTTGAACCCACGACTTCAGGCGCATCCACCTCTGGGTGTTATAGTCAACCCTCCAGTACATCGTGCGTGCAAACTTGCGAAATTGAAATCGATCCAATGCGACAATTTCTGATGCTTGGGGGTCCTGTACCAAAATAGCTGGCGGCACAAGCCAACAGAAACGAAAAAGTGCCGCGCTGGTGTTTCGGCAAAGCTTGGCGCGTAGGGGTAGGGGGAATTTGCCCCGGCAAAAGAAAAAAATAGACTCAGAGATGGACTGGTGGTTTTACAATTTCTCTCAGTTCTCTCTCTGCCCTTTGTTGTTGTAGATAATCAGCATTTGAGAGATTCCACTAACAAACAAACTGCTTGATTGAGCTATTAAAATTCAATCCCTGGTGGCAATGATGGAGCTGTGCGATCCCTCAATAGAACAAGGGGCACGCCCCACTAAGGACTCCTCTCCTCTTGATTAACACTATTTGAAATTGACTGAGCGACGACACAATCGATCGTTGAAGATCCTAAGGAGCTGGCCTCCCTTATGACTCCTCTTCTCATCTTGTTGTCTTGATTAAAATTTAAAAATTAAAATTCAAAATTTAAAACTATTTAACATTGACTTGGCAGCAATGCAAACAATCCTCAAAGAAAAAAACGAAGGGGCAGACCCCACTACCAGTAGTGCTATGCTTGTGCTTGGAAAAACATGAACCTGGCCGCAATGATGGCCAGGTTCGGTTCGTGCTGTCCTAGCATGAACATGTTTAACATAGACTGAGAAACACAATCAATCCTTGAAGAGAGTTACTGGTGCTATGTTGGTTGCTTGGCAAGCATGCACCTGGCCGTAATAATGGCCAGGTTCGGTTTGTGCTATCCTAGCATGAACGTGTTTAACATTGACTGAGCAATAAAATAAACCCTTGAAGAGACTTAAGGAGTCGGCCTTACTGGAGCTTTGTTGATTGCTTGGCAAGCATGCACCTAGCCGTAATAGTGGCCAGGTTCATGATTTTCCTACCATGGATGCTGCCGCTATGTTGATTGCTTGGAAAGCATGGACATAGCAGCATTGACTGATCGGAAAGATCCTTGAAAAAGGAGTAATGGGAAGGTGGCATTAACCTGGGTGTTATCATGGCCAGGTGCATGCTTTCCTGGCATGAAAATAGCACTGGTGGGGGGCCTGCCCCTAAGTACTCCTCTCCTCTTGCTCGATGCTTCGATGCGGTGTAACTTCAACAACAAGAAAGGCAAAAAGGGAGACTGGCACAGTGAAACAGATTCCTCCTAGGACTCTATAAATGGAAAGTCGGCCTCAAACTTACCTAGTTAAGAAATTAGTAAAACCCTAAACCAGAAACATTGCCTATTTAAGAAGTTTGTAAAAGCCAACGAAAAACCTTGCCTTCTGTCAGAGAACACCTGCGAATGGTCAGAAGAAGAATGAAAAGAGGAAAAAATGAAACAAAACAAAACAAAAAAAACACTGAATCACTGATCACCACCATATTCCGCCAGTACGCTACGCTGAAGTGGTGCTGAACTTGCGATGATGTGGAAGTCGACTTGTAACTCGTTGGATATGGAGGAGGAGACTTGGGTTCTTCACTTTCACGATAGCATTAACGTCTGCAAGTCGGGCTTGCATCATTGCCATTCTCCCCTGTACTCATAAGTTGGAGACAAACACACACACACACACAGAGATAGATAGATAGATAGATAGATAGATAGATAGAGAGATAGAGAGAGAGAGAGAGAGAGAGAGAGAGAGAGAGAGAGAGAGAGAGAGAGAGAGAGAGA